CACTTTTTGAGAAATGACTCGTTGGGGTTTTAATTTTAAATGAGGACAAATGATTATTCAGTAGATGTTCCTTTGTATTTATTCCTCTTGCATATTGAAGTCCCACTTAGAGGCCTGTTTGAGCATTCCCTGGAAATGGACCAAGTAGTGCAACAAATGTCTTTGCGTGTCGGGGGTCTGCGTTTGAGGATGGAGGCTGTGGCCATTCCCTGGGGGTGTGTATGTTCTGTCACAGCTCTGTGCAGCAGACCTGATCAGTCCAGAGCTGACTCTCCATTCACACTGTACAGAGATCTAGCATGTCTCTCCAAATGATTAATAAAGATGTCTTATTACCAAAGTCGTGCACTCTTCTTTTTTCCCCTGAACTTTTCTTCTAACACTGTACACCTCTGAGGTACCCGTCTTTCAGACTTCTACCTGTCCACCTTATTGTGATCCAGTACCTGTGCAGTGATCGTGTCTTTTTGTCACTGTCCTTTTGATGGACTTGTTTCAAAAAGTATGGAGGACAAAAAATGACTTTAAACTGCAATGTTACTCAGTCGGACTGACCTGATGACCTGGGAACAACACTTGAACAATCAAGTAAAATAAATAGAGGAATACTTCAATAAATACTTAAAAGACTGTCTAAATAAAAGAGGAATAAATACACAAATAGAGGAATAAATAAATTAATACATAAAAGAGATAAATGTATAATAAAAAAGGAATGAATAAATAAATTTGTAGATAAATAGAGGAATAAATACATTAATACATAAAAAAGAAATAAATGTATAATAAAAACCGGAGGAAAAAAAAAAATTCTACTAACCAAAATAATATTGTATAAATAAATGTATATATAAATAGAAGAATAAATTATTATAATTAAATACATAAATAAATCTAAAAATCAAGTATATAAAATTAAATAAATATAAAAAATGTAGTAAAATAAAGTAAATAAATAAATGTTTAAATAAGTAGACTTTTTATTTATTTGTTTATACATTTATCTATTTATACATTTATTATTTACATATCTATATATTCCTCTATTTATTTATTTATTTTTTACATATTTATTTATTGCTCTATCCAATAGAGGAATAAATAAACATGTATAAATTAAAAACAGGGATAAAATAAATAAATAGGTAAAAAATACATTTATAAATAAACATAGAAATAAATGCGTAAATGAATGAAAAAAATGTTGAAATTAATATGGAAATAAATAGATAAATGTATAGATAAATAAAGTTGATAATTAAACTAACATAAATATCTTAAATTTATTTCTACATATTTTGTGTTATTTCTGTATTCCTGTCTGTATGTTGATGAGGTCGGAGGTCCTAACCTTATTTCACCATTTATTTATTCTTTTATTTGATTTTATATTTATTTATTAGCATATGTATGTATTCATTCCTGTAGGTATTTGCACATTATTTGTTTATTTATTTATTTACTGATAGTTGTGTCATTTTTGTCCTCCATACAACTGTGTGAAAAAACAGTTATGACAGTATCTATTTTAAAATCACTTACAATGAACCTGTGCACTGAAAATGACAGGTGGTGTTGATTCAGGGGTTCCTGAGTTCACCTTAAGGAATGTGGTGGTATATTAAGCAAAAAAAGGCTGGGAACCACAGGTGTAGTTACAGCAATGAAGCAATTATTGTGTCAGTGTCAAGTATTTGTACATGTTGGAGCGTGCACTGTTTCTACTACACAACAACTCCAGTTTCTGCTGATGAGTACTGGCTTTATTGATCAGTGCTGGATTAACCCAGATTAAGGCCCCGGGGCACACATGAGCCGTTGGCCCCAGTTTGAGTACATCTAGGCCTTTATTACAAATTGTTCTTTAATGGTGAATATTATCAGAAACACATCTGGAGTGAATCCTTAGTTTAGTCCCAGAGTAACCGTACTGCGAGCACACATAAGCACTGGAGGTATTTGAGTTTATTCCACATAAAACACATATTAACAAAGGAATGTACTCTGTCATTACAGCTCTGTTTGGAAACTGTCTTGCACCATGTTTGTTGCAAAGAATTCTGACCATGAAATGTGTTTACCTGTTGTGTCACTGGATCAAATACCTGTGTCATTAGCCAGTCTGAACAGACCAACCCACAGTGGTTGAATGTAACTAAGTACATTTACTCAGTTGCAGCAGTTACTTTATAACAGCAGATTATTTTTACTTTGAATACTTTTTATGTGATAATAATTTTGTACTTTAATTCAGCTAATTGTTGCTTTTATTTTAGTAAATGATCTGAGTACTTCCACCACAGCCAACCTGCAGGATTCAGATTCTTCACTTAAGTAAAAGTACCAGTACAATGATGCAAAAATACTCCTTTACAAGTAAAGGTCCTAAAGGGGTTAATGTCTCCACAGGTAAGGGACTTGCACAGTTGCACAGAATCCCTTAAAAGTTCTCCTAAGTTAAGGAAAAGTATTATTACAATATGTTATTAATAAATAAATGTATAAAAACAGGAATAAAATAAATATGTACTGAAATAAATTGTAAACAGATACAGGAAAAAAGAAAATGAAAAAAATGTAGAAATAAACAGGTAATTGCATAGTAACATAAAGTTGATGATTAAACTGATATAAATAAATACCTTGAATTTATTTCTGTATTTATCATTCCTGTCTTGGTAAAATACAACCTCTCTTCATGGCACTACCCCAGCTGGAAACACAGTGGTGTCTTGGTAAAAAGCAACCGCTTTTGTGGAACTATCCTGGCAGGAAACAACAACTGCTTTTCATGGCGCCATTCCAGCTGGAAACACAGCGATGTCTCAGTTATAAACAGCTGCTTTTCATGGCGCTATCCCCAGTGGAAAAACAGCATCATTTGGTGACTAAAAAACTGCTGAAAACATGACAATAACTCACAAAAACACACAGTTTTGCTTAAATGTGACAAGGAGCCTCAACTACATGGTCTAAATGAAAGAGGTAACAATACTGAGAAAACACTGGTTTAATCTTTAATGTTGTGTTTTATTTCATAAATACATGTGTGTTTTATGAAAATATTCATCTAAACAGTAAATCATGTGGTCAGTTAAAAAGTATAGTATGTCCTTCTAAAATGCAGTCAAGTAAAAGGTATAAAGTAACATAAAATGCAAAGACTCAAGTACCTTAAAGTTGTATTTCAGGAAATGTACTTAGTTACTTTCCATCCCTGACTGGCAGTTATTTCCTGTTATGTTGCAGCCTCAATCCCAGTGATCATCACTGCCATGACCGCACTCAGAGCCAGTAAATATGTTGGGAAACTGAAACTGGTGCTGTGCCACTTTCACAACCCTGTGTTGTTTGCTGGCTCTCTGCAGGGCCGCTGCCTTCCTGCTGCAGGCCAGACTGCAGCTGTGACGGCCAACTCTGCTGATTCCAGTTCATTTACAACTTGGATGCAGCTCCGTGTTTGGCATCAGTCAGTCACTGTGATAATACTGAACCGTGGGAACACATAAACGATATTGAGAGGGAAAAAAACACGCCATCAATCAAAATATGACCAAGTGTGTTTCACAGGAGTACAGCAGAGACGACCTGTTAAAACTAGTTGGCTACAAAACCGGTGTGACAACTAACGGCACTCTTTCTCCATCCAGCGTGTCTCCAAACAACAATGACCTCAATATGACGGAGACGCCAAACACTGTAATACTTAGCAATGACCTTGGACTGAGATTTAATTCTCTTTTCATTTCAGAATGACATGTGCTGTGTTTTTTTTTACTGATATGTGCACATAAGGTAACACAAAGGCCATTTCCATGATAGTGATGATCCAGATTCTAATATCTTCGAACATGGAAAACTTGCCAGATGCTCGGTGAATGGAGTTTTTAATCCACTTTCATGGTTGAATGAGTCTTTTGTGATGCGTCTTTGTTGTGCATCGAGCCCACAGAAGTAATATTCACATTATGCGATTCAGAAATCTCCTACTGGCTTCACTTTTTTTTCAGTCACTCAAATACTTAATGTGTCATGAATGATGTCAACAGTAGACAACTGTCATGTTTTTGCTTTGAGTTTAAGATTCTTTTATGTCCAAAAGCCAAATGGTATAATCAGCATTAAAGGGTAAGTTTGGTATTTTCCAACCTGGACAATATTTTTCCATGTTTTTTCTGACTAAGTGACAAATTAAAACTATTTTTGAATTTCGTCCAGTATTGACCGAAACAAGCTGCAGTGTAACCACTCGCACCGTCAGTATATGTCGACTTAAAGTGTTTGTTTTTGCCACTGACAGGTTTAAGTTATTGTAATTGTCTGACATCATTGTGGAAAGGATTCTTACAGAGAAGACCTTTTTGTTAACAAGTAAGATCCTTTTTGTTTAACCAGAAACAGCACCAAAATCACCATCGCCACTTCCACCAGACTCCATTTAAATAAACAGTAATTTAATCACTGAAAAACTCACTCATTCAACGTCGACAGAAACAAAATAAAACTCACAAAAGCTGTTTTGTTTTGTCTTTCTACTGTTCCAACAATCACCAACTCTGGTTTGGTTGAAACAAACCTTAATTCACCCTGTAAGCTGGGAAGATAAGCTCACTCTATGCATACATGTACTGAAATTACTGTTTTTCTAAACGGAGTCTGGTGGACTTGGCAATGGCCACTTCTGGGCTGTTTCTTGTTAAACAAAAATGATCTTACTCTCTAACAACAAGCTCTGTCTCTGTGGGGATACTTTCCATAGGTTTTCGGACACTTAAAATAACAATCTGAGCCCATCAAGGGCAAAAACAAACACTTTATGTGGACATAACTTGATGAACAAACATTCCCAGAATGGTTACACTGCAGCCTGTTTCACCACTGGACAAATTTCAAAACCTGTTGTTCCCATTAGAGAGACCTAGACACAAAAACATTGGTTCAGGTTGAAAAACACCAAACTTACCCTTTAATTAGTAAATAAAAACACAAACAAAGAGAAATTTGTTGAAAAATAGTTTTATTAGATACTTTGTCAACTAGCTATCATAAATAAAAAAACAATAAGTTATATTCAGTGTTCAGCAGTGGCTATGGAAAAGGGAAAATCCTCAGGAGACCATCTGTTACGAGGGGGTCTCGGGGTGTGAGTCCCACTGGGACAGCTGAACCAAATCCCACAGCACCAGCTGGGAGAATTAAGCCCAGAATAAATAATGGGGAGACAGGGCACCTTTGGCTGAGGACAAAACAATGTCTTGACAGGAACACAAATGGATTCTCGGCCCTAACGGCCTCAACTTTCCTTCTGCTGACAAGGCTGAGTCGAGTCTTCTAGTGGCGTCTACCATCCGTAAATTACATCCTGAGAGGAGCTGTCGCATCTCTTTAAATAGTCTCTTCAGTTGAAAGCCTGCGCCAGGATTTCATTTCCCTTCAAATTAAAAAAGACAAAAATATTAGGCCACCGTTTCACTTTATTTCTCTGTTATTATCGTCACCAAAGTCAAAACTTACACGTTACTGCCCGGTACGATCCTCTCCTGGTGTTGCTTTGTCAAACTGAACCTCCTGAAGAACGCAGGCAGTTTGAGCTTCGTTCTCGCTGAGCTGGAGGAGGCACTGAAACATGAACGAGACAAGATTTAAGGGCTACAACTAACGATTATTTTCATTACCAATTAACCCTTTGAAACCTGAGCCAAGTGGCTTGATATATTTCAAATGGTAAGAAGGGAAAGAGCAGCTTAACAAGAAATTACCCAAAAAATTAGCAAAAAAATTGTAAAAAGTTACAAGAAAATTACCTGAAAATTAGCACAATTAAAAAAGTATATAACCCCTCCGAGAAATGAACAGGGAAATTAACTAAAAATAAAAAAATGTAAAAAGTTACTAGAAAATTACCTTAAAGTTAGCACAAAAAAGGTAAAAAAAAACAACAACAAAACAAACAAAAACAACAACAAATAGGAAAATTACCTAAATATTAAAAAAAAAAAAAAAAAAAAAAAGTTACCGGTAAATTACCTGAAAATTAGCACAATTAAAAAAGTGTATATATATATATAAAAAATAAACTAAAAAGGGAAATTACCTTAAAATTAGCACAAAAAGTAAAAAACAAAAACAAACTATTACCTAAAAATGTGAGAAAATATAAAATAAAAAAGAAAACCTGCAAGAAGTTACTAGAAAATCAGTCCAATAAAAAAAAGAAAGTAAAAACAAAAACTAACAAGGAAATTACCTGAAAAAAAACCAAAAAACTATTTTTTGATTTACTTTTTGATTTACTCGCCTGTTTCTCTCTTTATTAAACAAATTTTCAGGTTGTTTTTACTAATTTCCTGAAATCTGCGGGGCCTTTCTTGCCAAACTGCAAATCACCTTTTTTCCACTGTTTTAAAAACAAAAATGAAACCAATTCTTGTAAAGGCCGTCTGAACACAGCACAAGAAATCTGATGTTGATCCAGGTTTCAAAGGGTAAATGTGTCATTTTGTCCAAAATGTTTTGCGTTTTTTCTTGAAAAATGACTTAAAACAATAACTTGATTATCAGAGTAGTCACAGATTCAAATCCATTAACTGACTAATTCTTACAGCTCTACAGGATTTTACTCCCACAGCCGAACATAGCACTGCAGAGCCGAGGTGCTAACGAGAAGCTTTGTGGACAAACATACTGATTATCACCTGAGTGTGAATGGATAGGTATGGCTGGAATGTTTTGGTTACGATTCTTCAAATTTGACGCTGGTTTCAAGGAGACACTGTTCTCCTTCACTTTGGTTCTTTTTTAAACAGTTTCAGTCCTCACACACTTTAGAACAGCAGTGTTTGGAGAAAAAAAACTCTTCATATCAAAGCTACTTAAAAGAAACTGAAAATCAGGAGAAACAAGAGGTCAAAGGTCACAAACTTTCTTGTAAACAGTCCGGACAATTCCCATAAACAAAAACCTGCAATTACAGCACTATGAGTGTGTACTTGTGTTAATGTCCATGTATGTGTCTGTTTTCACTGTTTAACCCACCATTCTGCCTGCACCGACGGCTGTTTGGTCTCCGTCCCCTCCTCCTCAGCTGCTTGTTTCAGTCCATCTTCCTCCTCCTCCTCCTCCTGCTCGGCCTCTGCGTCCGCATCCTCCGGTATCTGCTCCCACAGCCTGCTGTCGACCCACAGAGCTTCCTGCAGGCTGAGGCCGTGGCCTATGCAGGTCACCCGGCGACACAGAGGGCAGCCCACGGTGAGCAGCCCGCCGCTGGCCTGCGACATCGTCTCCAGGCACGGCTCGCAGAAGGTTTGTCTGCAGTGGAGCACGCGGGGAATCCTGTCCATCCGAGAGTAGGGGAAGAGGCAGACGCTGCACTCGCCGTCCTCACATAGAACCATGGTGGAGCTGAGTGTGACTGCAGAGATCAGTTAGTGGATGATCTGTAAGTCCCAGTGAAAACTGCTCCACTGTCTAACAACTGATGATGAGGACTTGTTGGAGTAGACGGTCGCTGTAGGTTCTCTCTGTTATATAAAAATAAGTTTAGTTATCAGATGAATGAGCAGTTTATTATCCTCATCGCAATCAAAATAATGATTGCAGAGTAGGTAAATGTGGAGATAAAATAATGAAATAGGAAAAAGACACTGTAAAAGATGAATAACTAGACGTGCAACTTGATAAAATTAAACCTTTTCACAGCAGTAATATTTGAATAGTCAGACTTTAAGCAAAATTTAATCAAAAATACATCCTATTTTAACTTCATTATCTCTTTATTTATTTTAAGACTAAAATAATATTGTTTTTTAGGCCTGAATAAAAGTCGGCTGTATATTTTGAGTGTAGTCCAGACAGCGCTGACAATAAAAAAAAGAAAACTGACACTGAAAATGATAACAATGATACAAACATCCTCTACTTTAATGAAGGTAATAATGAAAATGTTTGTCTGTAAAGTCTACTCACAGTTCAGATGAAGCCCATGTAATAATGTTATTCCCAGAGCAGACTCAGAGCTCCTGTATTGTCCCTTTGGAGTGAACAGCTCAGTCACACTGCAGTGAATGGAAAGCCGGGCTCGTCTGCCGCCTGTTAAGAGTGTCTGCTGTGTTTGTGGGGGCGGAACACAAACTGTCTTCTCAGGGCCCCAAACCCCTCACACACACACACACACACACACACACACACACACACACACACACACACACACACACACAACAGCTGGGGAAGCAGAGCAGTGGAGATGCTCTTTGTTCAGTGTTTGAGGGAGGGCAGGTGGAGAAACGGGTCCGGGAAGTTTCGTTGGGAGGGGGGTGTAGGCAAATAGTGGATAGTAATAGACGCATGCAGATAACTGCTCGTATATGCAAAACCTAACCCACGTCATTGTAAATTTGGATGTATTAAAATTAAGTTGCACAATAATACACCAACACAGTGTCCTCATAAAGATGGGCTCGTCCGGGATTTGAACCCGGGACCTCTCGCACCCAAAGCGAGAATCATACCCCTAGACCAACGAGCCATACATGTACTCCTATAATGCTAGGCATTTATTCCTAGCATTACCAGGCTAGCTGTTGGTTTTATATTGTTGTTATTTGTGTTTACTATCTACACCTCCATGCCGGATAATTCCCGAGCTCTACTCCGTGCTATATAACCCATAACACCGGCTAAGCTAAGCTAACATTAGCTAGTCTAGAAACAGCATTCTATCTGGCTAACATGCTAGCTAAAGGTAAGGTAACATTCAAAGCCCAGAGGGTAACGTTATATGCCCTCAAAACAACTAAAATAATACGTCTCTATACGTGTAACACAGTAACCTGCTTTTGGAAACTACAATTACAGCGAGTTATGCCGAAGTGGATGTTTAAAACTACAACTAACGGTAATTGTCAACCGGTTGCAGCATCGTGTTAGCATATAGCTAATGCTAGCTGCTCCGAAAGCCGTTCATACACATACAAAAAGATGGGCTCGTCCGGGATTTGAACCCGGGACCTCTCGCACCCGAAGCGAGAATCATACCCCTAGACCAACGAGCCACGTGTTCTTGGAGGCAGACGCCACACAATTTATAGACGGCATCAACGGTTGAGTACAATGTGTAATAATGTTATTTTATTTTTGGGTGTATCGATGGTTATGTAGCTTAAACTAATTATTTGAAATCCCTTCGCAGTTTGGCGCAGACTGTCGAAATGCAGGTTGGAAATAAGGTTTATTACAGTGTGCGGGATGTAAAAAGACTGAGCTGCAGCGTCTTGTAACGTTTAAGCACTAAATACTTGCCCTAAAACTACTATTAGGTGTTATTACAACAGCTGAGCGGTATTAAATTAACTGTAGTTGTAACGTTACCTGAATGTAGAGCCCATATTGATCTGACCCGATACTGTGGACGTAAAACACAGCGTGGTGACGTCGCATATTGTGGGCGGGGTTACCGCCTAACATCAGGAAATCCATTGTACCTAATGAGTGGTTGAGTTAACGAAGTAAACAAAAGTAGTAGTAAAACTAGCTAACGTTAGCTCATTATGTTTGCTAACCATGTTAGAAACTTTGATACCGTGTTTCCTGCACTCAAACCAAACTAAATTAACGTAACGTTATTTCACGAAACTTAACTGGCATCGCTGCAATTAAGTTTGTGGTTAGCTAGTAACGGTAATGCTGTCACAGGTTGCTAGGTTAGCTAAAGCTAAGTTTAAGCTAAGTTTTTTAGGTTAACAGACTCTAATATTGTCACGTCCATCCAGATGGAGGCTTCTTTGGGATCTCTGCAGAATCCTGACCTCAGGTAACGTAACATGTGGCTAAAGCAGGTGGAAAGCTAACTAATATGATCTAATGACTGAATATCACAGGCAACCAGAGATGATCCTGCTAATGTGGTATTTTAATGTATCTGTATTCCAGCTCTGTCCTTTCATCATGTGAGCCAGAGCTCCAGGAGCTGATGAGACAGATTGACATCATGATCAGTCATCAGAAAAGGGAGTGGGAGGCTCAGATTCAGGCTATGGAGCTCAGGATGAAGAGTGGGGAAGAGGAGCTGTTGGCCTCCAGGAATCTCATTGAACGGAGGGACCTGGAGGTGCAGTAGCAGATCCTAATATTTTCTTTAGTTACGGCATGAGGAATATAACCAGAACATTTGACCTCTTTGGTAACAGAGAGATGGAAATACACTGACAGTCTTTCACAATCAATCATATTTTGGAATATAGCGTTTTGCTGTATTGCAGCATGACCGGTTTCACATTTTTACTGCTTGCCACATGTGTTACTACATTTTAGGGATGCATGATATTGGATTTTTTGCTGATATCCCATATGTCGTTACATAACAACTCATTTGGCTGATAACCAATACCATATATGTAGATGTAGATGTAGTACTTTTACTTCATTGTCTTATTTATATCCATTTATAAAGAACATTTACTTTAAAATTTGAGAAGCCCCAAGGAAAATAATAATTCACAACCTTTTATTTTCTAAGAGTCTTGTTTTATGTTGTAGCGGTTTAAGAAATTTGCAAACCAGATGTTAAAACTTGATTTTAAAGCCCTGATGAAGACCTGCAGTGGTTGGTGGGTCTTTTAATGATTTAGCAACTACAATAAAAGGCTTTTAATAGTGCTTGGATTGCCTTTTTGTGTATCCTGTTTTTTCCCGTTTTCTTGACCCGACACAAGGTTCTGACGTACGTTTTATTTCACAGAGCATATATATATATATACATATTGGTTTGTCATATCAGCAGAAATTGGCGTGTTGACAGATTCCGACATTTCATTTTAAAGCCAATACTGGCCGATACCGATGATGTGCCGATATCATCATGCATCCCTACTAAATCCTGTTATATATATATATGATGGTGATGTTTTCCCCAAATTTTTACACCACCACTGTCATCACCCCTGATCACAGGTCGGATTGCTCTGCAAGCAGCTTGAAGAAGTCCAGTCTGGTCGACAAGAGTTAGTCACCAAGTACGAGCAGCAGCTGCAGAAAGTCCGGGAAGAGGTGAGACAAGTTTCAGTTACACAATTAAAAACAATCAGTCAAACAGCCACTCGTTGAACTGATTACTTTGTCTTCTCGTATATAGGATGTCTGCGAGTGTGCAGTCTTATGTGTTTTCTCTGTGGTTATATTTTTCTTTATCATCTAATATATTAAGGTGTACTCGGTGAGTGCCTTCATCAAGCCCCTCTGAGTGTTTTTTTAAGCCTCTACATCACATCCCTGTATTTTTAATGCATATTATCATTTGTATTTTTTTGGCATATGTGTAAACAAATCAGTGAAACTAAACTAAAATAGTCCACTCACCCGTCCAGTCTTACTCTTTCCATGGACTGTATCACTCTTAATACCACGTCACCTGATTCTGCCAATACATTTATGAGTTTTGTCCTCTTAAGTTAACACTTAAATCTCAGAGAACATCCAAGATTGGCAAGCACTGGCCCTAACCATGACCTTTTTGCCCAAACCCTGATAGCTTCCAACCTTGACGCTTCAATGTGACGAGTATTAACCAATCACAGCATGTGGTGGGATCCATATTAAGGCGTGGCACAGATGGGTTTAAATCGCTGCATTGTTGCAGTGTGACTGCTCTCACCCGGGTGCAAACAGACACTCTGTTTTCATTCCTTTAAGGGGCACTGTAACTGATAATAATAATAATAAAACTTGTGTCATACCATGAATATGTGGTATTTCCCGAGGTGGTTATTGTACCCTAACAATCTCATACTGTTGCAACCCTACCATATTTCTTGTTAACCTTTTTAAATGATCAAAATGTCAGTCAAAGAAATCACTCCTAAAGCAACTTCAGTTTCTATCTGTACAGATTGAACAATCTTAGATCTTACTCAGCTTACCTCACACAGGCATCTGATATTGATGACTGTGAAGTCTAATTTGTCCTCGCATGTATTTGACAGTAACATTTTCAAGGCCTCTGATTAAAACTTGAATTGGAGAATCCTCTCTCACTGACATTTTCTTGCAGTTGGATAAATTAAAGAGGAGTTATCACAAGCTTCAGCGCAAACACCTCAAAGAGACCAGTGGAGGAGCGAATCCTAAAGAGGCAGACCGTTCAGAAGTGACACTATTCAATGAAAAGATCAAGGTACAACAAAATCATTCAGTCATTTCTATCCAGTACCTGACATCATCACTTACAGATGGTCACTTACTGCCACCTCCTGGTTGTCTGGAGTATAATCATCCTTGTTTCTCTGCAGGAATATCACCATCGGTCTGCAGAGTGGGAACAGCAGCGCATCCACTACCAAAAACAACTGACAGCACTGGAGGTGCAAAACAAGAGCCTGACTGATGAGCTCACACACATGAAGGTAAAAGCTAATTAATAACTGAAACAGGTGACATCCTGTCAGACAGTTTAATGCTGAAGCAAAGAGGCAGGTTTTTTTTCCCACATATTTTTATGTCATTTGATTTCCAGGCTCAGTTGGCGTCATGGCAGAAGGAGGGGGAGCACAGGGAATGCTGTGCACAAGTGCAGCATCTGCGTGCTCAGCTGGAGAAGGCTCAGGGCAGCATGCACTCACAGGAGCTTGAACTGGAACGCCTCCGACCGCTTGAGATGTGGTTGGGACAGTACCAGAGGGAGAAGCAGGTTAGCAGAATGGTACCAACGTATACAGGCAGTGGCAGAATAAAGACCAAGACAAACCTAAAGACTAACTTGGGCAGCACACAAGTGGCAACATCGGTCACCGATATCTGGATCTGAAAACTTGAGATAAGAATTTTTACGTATCACGCACTGTATGATTTTTATCTGCCAACCAGTCATCACTCTCAAATCATAATCAGAATTAGCTCAATTGTCGTAATGTGTGTCCCTGCTTTAAAGGATAACTTCGGTATTTTTCAACATGGGCCCTATTTCCCCATGTGTATGTGTGCGTATGATTCATGGGTACAACTCGTTCTAAAATTGGTTCAGTATTGAGGGAGGCGGATGCAACCAGGAGCCGCGAAACGAGCTAAAATGGTAATGGGGGCACATGCATCCCGTATAAGTTTGTGCATTAAAAGTGCTTTTTTTTGCCACTGACCGGTTCAGATCGCCAGTGCTATCTCTGTAAATAGCATACTAAGCGTTTCCCTTACCTCTGGGCTGTGTGTGACGTCATCTCGCGAGAGCTTTGCTCCACTGTGTCTGTAGCTCTCTCTACTCGTGGGACAGCCGTTTTCTTGAGGAAGAGGTGTTTCGGGATTGGATGTCTTCTCTTCTTTGGCTGGCAGTACTCATCCTGGGAGAAGTGAGCACTGCAGACCCGATGGTCTGCAAGGCGCAGTGTCTGGACAGGAGTGTTAGCATCCATTTGTAGCACAACTAGCCACAACTTCAGCATCTTGCCGTCCAACAAAGGCAGCCTATGAAAGCTGTACGGGGTGTTGCGCGACATCCTGTTCTTGCATTCGGGAAAAAGGCCCGTTTATTTGAGCTCTCCAAAAACTCCGGTAACACTCCAGGGGGTAGCATGTAAAAGACTCCGTCCCAAACTCTGACTCTTCTAGCGTAACACACACACTTCATACACACATACTCACTTACAGTACCCAGCGGGGCAGCCCCCTCCCCCCCCCTGCTCCAACACTGACTGACAGCTGACTCCACTCATAGCACTCATAGCACTGGCGATCTGAACCGGTCAGTGGCGAAAAAAAGCACTTTTAATGCACAAACTTATACAGGACGCATTTGACCCCGTTACCGTTTTAGCTCGTTTCGCGGTTCCCGGCTGCATCCGCCTCCCTCAATACTGAACCAATTTTAGAACGAGTTGTACCTATGAATCATACGCACACATACACATGGGGAAATAGGGCCCAGGTTGAAAAATACCGAAGTTGTCCTTTAAGGTGATCATCATTGGCCCCTAGGCCCTTTAATTTTGTGGGGCCCTGTACTGCCCCAGATTACCCAAAAAAAAAAAAAGACAACTGACTAATTCAGTGACATGTTTTGGGCAGTAGTCTGCTGAATACACAGTTAGCACGTGTTTATCAAGAAGTGCCACTGAAGTGACAAAATATAGTTTGAATGTATTTTTTGCTGTAACAGAGGGGGTACGTCTTTGTCCCATCACATCAAGCTAATGTTAAAGAATATGGACCAGCATGTTGGACAGTGATCGTTACCCACTTTATGTAGAATGTTCTAAAGATGAAGACTGTAGGCTGATCGCAACTCAGGGATGTGTTGGTATATTTTTATGCTACGAATATTGTGGTCAAAAATACCACAATAATCATCAAACTTCCCTGAAATACTACAGCTACTGCTGACATGTAGTAAAAATCACCATAATTGCTTTGGATTTAAACATATCTAACAAACTGAATAGTGAACTTTATACAGCAACTCTGAAGTGAACTCACGTCAGATGCACTAAAACACTATAAACAGGTTGATGGTTGGAAACATTTAAATGCACTCTTGATTCTGTGTACTCGTGTTTGTACTTGTCCCTATTTATTCTGGGTGGTCATGGTTGTGAAAGAAACAAAACTCCTGCGCACATCCTGCCAACTCTTGCACTCTGTTTAGTTGCAGCATTTCTGTCTTCAGAACTTAACATGGTTTATGAGTTGAATTTTAGTCTTCAGGACTTTGTGGTTCTTTGCCAGTCGGAGTTTAAAGACTTTGTCGTAACATGGCATAATGTAGAGAAGAAGACACCCACAAAAACTAACATTGACCTTTTGTAACAGTGGATCTGTGCTGCAGTGTAGGAGATTGAAGTATAATTTTGTCAGCTGAGGATCCATGATGTTTCCACAGGTCCTCTCAGAGGAAAGAGAGGAGCTCCACGCCACACTGGACTCTCAGGATACATTTGTGCGAAGAGCCAGCCTCGAACGCCAGAGACTTCGTAATGAAGCTGCCAGACTCAACCAGGCGCTGCAAGCTAAAGATCAAGTCATTCGGTGGGTGGATCTCCACCTGTAACTGTGCTTTCACTCATCATGTTGTGATGTAGTACATTACGAGGTCACCAGAGGGCAGTCTAGACTCATACTAAGGGAGGATGTGCTGTTGAGTAGCTGCAGTAGAGTTGGTTTAATGCTTGTGTGCTGTATGAGAAGAGTTTTTATAGAAGTCAGTAAAGCACAGCTCTGTTGTTTCCTCAGCTCTCTGGAGGACTGTCTGGCAGCTCAGGGCTGTGCTGGTGTGGAAACTCTCAGACAAGATTTGGAGAAAACTGCGACCAAGCTTCACTGCGCCCAATCATGTGAGGCTCATCTCAAGGCTGAACTGGCTGAGATGAGAAAGGTCAGAAAACTTCTCTGACTGGTGATGCAGTGCGAGGTTTTCGACATACATGCTGTAATGTGAGTAAAGAACACTCAGGTAACATCCATATTGTTATATCTGGATTTATTCTCCAGCTCAGAGAAGAGCTTCAAAGGGCCAAGCAGACCCACAGTGGTGAGGTGGAGGGAATGAGGACGGAGGTGTCGAAGCTGACCGCTGAGCTGCACCAACGTGACGTCACCATCGCCACACTGAAAGGCTCCTCATCCAGCATCAAGCAGCGACACCGTGGTGATGTAGAGCGAGCATAGCAGAAGGTGGCGGAGCTGAAAGTAAGAAAGATGAACAGGTGTAGAGCTGTGACATCATAGTTTTTATGTCAAAATCAGGTGGAATGTGTAACATGATCGATGGCTTTTTGTCACTCAGATATAGATGTGTGTTTGTTGTCTTTTTTTGACATGACAGGAGTGTTACAGAGAGAGCCGCAATGCTCACACAATCTTTGATATTTGGGGAAATACACTAATAAATAAATACATAAATAAATAAAAGAATAAATATGAAGTACATACAAAAATAAATAAATGCATATAAAACAAATGAATAAAAATATAGATAAAATAATAAATGAACATATTAATGTTGAAATAAATATTGAAATAAATAGATAAATACATAGATAATTAAGTAAATTTTAAAATAAATATGGAATAAATTGATAAATGCATAAATATATAAAAGAATAAATAAATGTTGAAATAAATAGATAAATGCATGAATAAATAAGTACATTTTAGAGTACATATGGAATGAATTGATGAATGCATAAATAAACAAAAGAATAAATAAGAGCTGTAACAAATACAGAAATATATAAATGCATAAATAAATAAAATAATAATTATTTGACAAAATGAATGTTGAAATAAATAGATAAATGTATAAATAAATAAAACAATAAGTAATTAAATAAATAAATGTTGAAATAAATACGGAAATAAATCAATAAATGCATAAATAAACAAAAGAATAAATAAGAGCTGTAATAAATACATAAATGGATAAATAAATTAATTAATAAATATTTGCCTAAATAAATGTCGAAAGAAATAGATAAATGCATAAAAATGACAATTAAACTGGGCATAAATAAATAAATAAATATTGTGCATTTATTTCTGCATTTTTATAAAACTAAGTCTATTTATTTTGTGTTTTGTGACTTATTTACCTGTTGAACCCTAAATTAATGGCACCATCAACAGGAGGAATACCCTCCCAGTCCTCTCATTGTGAATCATTGAGTTCCACATCAAGTTTATATGTCTGTTAGTTCATTATATTACCTTTATTTTATTTTGAGGCTTTTTTTAATAATGTCCAACACTGCACAAGTGTTGAAGACAAAACATTAAGGTGGGACCCTTGTCAATTTCTGTTTGCTCTCATGCTCACATAAATCTTAAGCTGGATATGACACACTCATACATCTTATCTTACATATCGTCCCTGTCAAACATCAGTATGTTAGCATTAATCCAGTGAATAGCTTTGTATTTTTTTGGTATCATCCAAGGGGGTTAAGGAAAACCACACCATCATGCTGGGGCCCGTGCATCTTCTCAGGGGTTTAGTGAAACAAACCACATTGTTCTTCTTCTCTGACTCTCTCAGGTGACTCAGGCTCAGCTGGAGACTCTACAAACTGAGAACCAGCATCTGAAGGCTCTGCTGCAGAGGCTGGAGTCTCAGTCACCAAAGGTTTGTCTGCGGCCTTTGACACAGTCGTTATGTAGTCATTACACATTTTACAGACAGGATTCTTTTCCTAATTTGCAGGAGACCACCACCCGCTACGAAGGGCAGATCCACAGCCTCTTCAAACAGCTGCACACCCTGTCCCATTCCTCTGGAGAGCACCCCTGTAGCCAGGCCCAAGACAGCAGGCCTCACTCAGCAGCATCCTCCTCCTCCTCCTCTAGTAGCACAAGACTCACCAGGAGAAACTCAGTGCCAAAGCTGAGTTCAAATGACTCTCCTGCTGAGGGGCAAAGCTCCGGCTCTGAAGCCTCTCTGGCCTCGGCATCTGCAGAAAGAATCACACCCTCTTCCTCTCCTTCTCCAGTGGTGAGGCTCATCACAAATAATAATTCACAGTTGTAGTAAAGGCAATGTTCTGTCCTCTTTTTAGCAAAGAATCTCATAGTTGTGTGTTTATCTTACCTCCAGGAGCCTCCATCAGTGTCTCCCACAAACCGAACAGTCTCTCGTTTCCTAGAGGAAGAGAACTTTCGGATGAAAGAGCTGCTCCAGAAACTGGACACTCACATCCACGGTATGAGCGAGAACAACGCCAAGACAGTTTCCAAGTACCAGCCAAGTGGCTCAGGGCCCGAGTCTGCCCAGGCTGCAGCACAGAATGGTTAGTGATGGAGTAAGGTCTAATAAATCAGGAAATATAAAAGTGCCTCGAACAGCAGTGCCGAAGACTACGTCCTGTACTGAATTAAACTGCACGCGGTGGAGAATTTATGGGGTATTTGCTGTGAGCCTCACTTGACTGAACTTTAGAGACATGTATTCTTATTGTAACACAGTTTGCACAGTTCTTTCTCAGAGCTTTGAGCTCTCCCAAGTGTTCATAAGAACTGTCAAACGGAGCGATTGTAATTCAGAAATTCCAGTGAGCTCTCAGGCTGCTCAGAGCTGTGGCCTCACACAGCCTGGCCTGCTCCGTCCCCTCAGTGGAGGCCGTGTTGTATGAGGTGACACATATGACACAGGATTAGTCTTGTGCAGCTGATTAGCTCAGATTGTTGCCTACAATTTTTTCCTCATTCTGTTTATCATGTATTTATTTTATCTGTGCGGCAGCAGAGGTTGAAACCGAGTGTTTCAGCTTTTCTGTGTTTTCATTGAAGCTTATCTTAAAGAACGAGTGCCAACAAAGGCTGACTGATTAAACGCTTTGCATGACATCACAAGACCTGCATTCAAACGCACCGCAAAGATGACAGCTGACAAGCATCGTGTGCACAATCTGTGCCTCCAGTAGTCTGTGTTTGCAATCTGAAAGACAAACAAACTAGAATACCATTTCACGACACGATGAATCTGTTGAAAAGGTCTCATTATATACTGGAAACAGGAAAGGATAACATGTCTGACCAAAAGTAATCTCTATAAACAGATTTATGCACCAGTGACATTTGAATGGCAATTACACAGTGCCTGCGGAGAGGTGGAACACAGTTTCTGAAATGCAGTCGTCTGGCGATGATTCAGCTTTATGTTAGCTTTTTATTAGCTTTTATCTGCATTTATACGCAGATATCTTTTTATGGAGATAAGTCAAAACAACTGGCGCACAGAAGAGGACGTCTTGGCCCAGGAATCAACTGGCCACACCAAATCTCCTGATATATTTGCCCTTGCCCCCAGAGGCTCTGTTGATGTCAGATGATGGCCAGTGGGTTCTGAGATTGGCCTTGTTAGCTTTAGGGCTGACAGTTGATTTCATCAGGAATTAAACTGACAGCTCATTAATCGTTGGGTCTCTAAAAAATATCAGAAAACATTTAAAAATGTCTGCTACAGTTTTAAAGAGCCCAAAGTGACATATGTAGATGTCTTTTTTGGCTGATCAGTCGTCTAAAACCCAAAGCAGATCAGTACACTTTAATTTCACACAAGCAAAAGTTTAAAATCTTTACAGCTGAGAAGCTGGAACTCTTAATTTCAGCATGTTTGCTTCTAAAGACCATCCAAATAGTTTGATTTCCTGATGCTGGGCTAATCAAATAATCGTTACAGCTGTGGTCAGCTTGTAATCTTGTGGAAAAGGACCAAAAAGTAGAGACGCTGAAAGAGAAGAAAACTGCACTTAATGTGTGAATTTCGTTTCAGAGACTGACTCTATCAGCAATTCAGTGTCAAGGATATAACACCAAAACTAGAGGATGTGATGGTCAGCAACAGAAACTCAACAACAGCTCAACTGTGCTTGGCGCGTGAAGCTCTAACATGTTGACAGCTCGTAATGTCTTTAAATTTTCATTAGTTTTGCCAAATTGTTTTAGGAAGTTGTTGCAATATCTGAAATAGTTTAACTGTAGAGAAGCCAGATGTTTGGGCCCTTTAACCCAAGACACATTATATAATGCTGCATTCCATTCAAGCTTAGACGACATCTGACCTCCGTGTGTTTCCTGCCGGGAATATGTCTGATTGCCTGAACATTGATAATTTCTATTTAAAGGCCCAGATGCACGAAATTGACTTCAGAGAACTAGTGGCAACGAAGGCTGACTGTTGCGTCACCTAATGTCACCTGGGTCTCGTCCAAATGTTGCACTTAAACACAGTGCAAAGACGACAGCCAACGGCCAACCAGCATGTACGTTCTGAGCCTGTGAGAGGAAATATCTCTCAATACCAGCAGGCAACGGTGGTCTGTGTTTGTCATTTAAAAAGGGAAGCCGGAAGACCAACAGGACGAACTAAAGACGCTGATGTAACACACTGGTTTCCATCTCGCTCCCTCTTGACTGTTTGCTTTCCTCACTTTTGTTTAGCTTCTCATGCACTGAGCTGAGCTGCCAGTCAGAGTCATTTCATTCACCGCCACGGATTCAGCATGCTCAGCTGACTCAAAAGCCATCGATAAGGTGTGGCTAGTGCCAACGGTGCACAAGACACCACAAAAACAAGGCAGCAGACGCTCACTGAAGGCCCAGCATTGACCGACAGCCAACGTTTGGCTTGGTGTGTCAGGGCCTTGAACTGATATTAACATTTTGTGAGTAGGACGTGTTGTCGCAGGCAGTATAGGTTTTATTATCAGACCTTGGAGGAAACTGCTTCTAATTCATTTAAATTGGCCTTAAATTGTTGACCATTCATAGCATTTTCTGTCATATTCGTGTGATCTCACATAACAGACTTTCTGTCGCTGAATTCCACCTGGATTACTCGTTGGAACTCTGATATTAAGAGGAGTCGCTTTGCACTTCTCCTCATACCTCGCTGCGTGTCCCAATTTCTCAAGTTGCCTGGAATGCAGCGTTATTACTTTGCATTTACATCCAGAGAAAAGAATGTTGCTGCGAGCCAAAGGAGTGTCCGTCCTCCCCGCACGTCTGTCATAACTGGGAAAATACCACATATGTACATGTCTGTCCAAGACTTCCCAGACAGTAGGGAGGGAGAGGAGGCAGCTTATACTGTCGCTCTCCTCATTTTCCCCAGTTGCTGGTGCCGAACCCCCCAGCACCAGCACCAGCACCAGCACCAGCACCCACCCTGCAGAGGCCCACTGGCTAGTCAAGTGCAGGAATGTGAGCACCATGCCAATGCTGTCATGAACCTTCCCCTGCAGCCTGCTTTGTCCTCATCATTAGAAAGCTGATGGAATGTTAATATCAACCATGTGGGGCGCTCAACCTCACAAACACTGAAAGGCCGGGGGGGGATAGTTATATTTTACTGCTGCTCTAATGAAGAACACACCGATTGAATGGAAATAAAGTGAAAAAATGTGAAGAAATATGTGTTTGCTGTGTTTTTGCTGTCACACTGTTTCAACAACAACACAGGAGTTCTGCTCAGCTGTGTCCGAGTCCAGTGACTTCTCACTTTGGTATTTGGTAGTCTGTGTTACGCGCACTGTAAGCCCCAACAAACAGCACTGAGGAATTTGGCAAGGCAGGCATTCCTCTGGCTCTCTCTGGAGGGAGGTGAAAAGGTTTTTATATATGGAGATTCTTTGAAGGGGCCTAGTAAAAGGGAGGAGGACTGAGGCAATTTGGAGTCCAGGGAGAGTTCTGCCTTATTTACGTAATGATTCACAGGAAAAATTCTCTTAAGGCTGCGAGATGATTGAGTAATTGCTAAATTAATGAGTTTAATGAATTGAATTGCCCGCATTAGGCTCTTAACTCTATCAGGACAAATGTTATGAGTGTAATTACTGGTATGATGCAAACAGAGGACATCATCGCTCTAAAGGAATTCTCCTGGTTATTTGTTTATCATTAATCATAATTTGCTTCTAATGATTACATTATCCAGCAATTTACTTTGCCCTTCCACAACCTTGGCTCACTTGCAAGAAGCATAATAATAATAATAATAATAAGCAATGGTTGAAATTGATGCTGCAGAGGCCAAAATATTCTAACTTCAGTCTCAAGTGCTGATCAAAGAGAGACTTGTGATCACTGAAATTAGGTGGGAAAAAGTGGATACATTGGCAGCAGTTATTGGCCAGATAAGTTGTGAGATGTCAGCATATAGGATATCGGCAAAAAATCCAATATCATGCATCCCTCCTGATGACATCATCGAGGCCACTGACTTGGTTTTTCCAGACCTTTCAGTCGCACCTTCTGGCCTTCCTCAGCAGGTGGAGTTTACTCAGAAAGGGTAAAGGTTATTCAGTAAGGCTACTGAGCAACTCCATTCAGTGAGGAGCGCAAGAGATGCGTCGGAAAACCAGACTAAGTGGACCCTGCCAGAAGTTTTATTTTATTGTATTTTATTTTATTTATTTATTTTTATTTTTCAATGTTGAAGATCCCCTTGGGACATGTTTCATTCTGCCTCAAATAATAATTTATGTCCCATGTAATTTGTCAAAAAATAAAATAATGATATTAATGATACAAAAAATTAAATGCATCTACGCTATGGAGGATGAAAAATGTCAAAATAATTAATCAAAATAAATAAGTGTATAAAAAATATTGGAATAAATAAATAAATATGGAAACAAATCAATACATGTACAAATATATAATAGTAATAAATAAATACATAAATTTAACAATAACTGAATAAATAAACGTTGAAAGCAAAATGGTAATAAATAAATACATAAATAAAAATTGACAAGCAGGACGTTTAAAATTGTTATTAAATATCTATTATTTTTACATTTTTGTACAGCTACATTTTTTTATTTCTGTATTTCCGTGTATGTTTGTAAGGCAGCCTCTGCGTTTATTTCTTTATGCATTTTTTTATTATTTCAGAATGTATTTGTTCTTTATGATTTCATGGGTTTTTTTCTATCTTTATTTGTGTACTTTCTCATCCTCCGCACTACTCCCTCTCACTAAATTATCCTTAGAAATCTATAAACATGGAAATATTTTCAATTTCGAAACTTAAACGGTTCAATAAAAGATGTCTCCTACAGTGTAAAGTGAGTGTGTGGGCACTGGAGGCTTCAAGTTTCCACATCACACCTGTGTAAGTCTCATATTGGACCACGTTTAGCTTTCAAGCTAGTTGTGATGTCAGAAAATCATGTTTGCATGGAAACATCTTGAACTCAAATTTAAGGTGATCACAGAGAATGTTTCCCCCTTCAGGCAGATGAATGTGAAAACAGCCTTCTAGTGTCAAACTCTGCAAGTACATCATTCAGCACAGTGAAGCTGAAGGTAAATATATTTAATAAATCTTCTATTTAAACCATTCCACTAACCCAGCTTTGTCTTCATGCTTAAACATTTTACCTGTAAACGTACCGAGCTTGGTAGTTGTTTTCTGTAGTTACTGTTTCAAGAGCCTGACAGCAAATTACTTCAGGAACTCTGAGACACTCTTGTCTTTTGTTGCTTCCCTTGCGTTACCACAAACAAGCAGTAGGGGGAGCAATTTAAATGCTCTGTTGTCTCATTGTGGTCAGCGGTGATGAATCTGCCAAGTCATATACTCCTCAATCAACCAGTAATACAACAGCTTGTGTCTGTATTAGATGCTTGAAAGATTCATCTTCCATGTTCCCGTCATAAATCAGGAATCTCTACAGTCCTGAATCACACACCAGACATCATGAAGCCAAGTTATCAAATACACAAGTAAATCCGACAAACTTGGTGAATACTTGGTGGGAAAATCGTTTCACATTATCAACCCATCTTGTTGGAGATATCTGAGGTATTTGTTTGAGGAATGTCTCTTATCTGTGAGATCGTAACTCGTCATGGGAATAAAGATTGAAGAATGAACGGAGATTGTTTGTGAAGAGGGCTGACTTATCTCTGCAGAGAGCTGCCAGGCGATGCAGGTTGGTGGGGATTTCTTGAATCTAGTGAGCTGGGGACGAGAAGAATATCTGATTCTCTTAGTTTCATTAAAACCAGTTTCAACAACACGTTTTTTAACAGTTTGTTTTTTGTCTGCAAAAAAATGTTAACAGAGTTGCCCAAAAAGTGAGAAATGTCCCTTCAGAATGTTGCACTTCCACTCCACTCACAGGTTGTTGCACCTTGACGGAAGTGATAAACGTGTCTTTTTATGAATTGCTGAACTTCCTTCACAAGATTAGACGCCTTTTCCCAGAATTGTTGCAGCCTGCATGCATTCTTTGTTGCACATTCCACGGCGGGGCCTCAGAGAAACATGCCTGTCGTGCTTCGCGTGTGTCCATGTCCTACTTCCAGCTCCAGCCATGTCCCGTCGATTGTGGACGTCTCATTGTTCTTGAGTCGGGGCGGGGTTGAGGGAGTGGGAGTGCAGGTTGCGGCGGGACTCACCTCGTGCATTTAGGACTCAGGACGTTCGCTGCAGGACACTTGGAATGCTGCGGAGACAGACAGAGGGGCGCGTTCTTATCAGCCCGCTCTGTGCTCCGTGCCAGAGGAACTGTGCCAGAGAGGTCAAGAGGAAAAGACTCATTCCTCTAATACACAATGAGTGCGTGCAATGCACACTAGCGTCCCACTTACAGTATGTTTGTTTGCATACTGTGGCGTGTAAACAGTTGTGGTAGATGTATGGAGATCTTTACGTAACAGTCGGAAAACCATAACTTGAAAACACTGATGAAGTGAAGGTGTCTGAGGTTTTGTTATTGCACAAATACATTCAGATGATTCAAATGTAAAACAGAGGAGATCGTGGAGTTGGATGCAGGGGCCTGTAGGTGTAGGTTATAGCAGCAGATGGCTGGCAGAGGCTGTTGGCTTTCCACCAAAAGTTGCAGGTGGTGCTGAATGGTGACAGCTGCATTTTAAAGGCTGGGTGCTGAAAGCTGTAGGCAGAGACTGTAGGTGGAGGCGGGGGCCAAACTTTAGGATGAGGCTGGAGCTGGGGCAGAGACTCTTTGATGAAGGCTGTGGCCGGATGCTGAAAGTAGAAACTTAGTTTCAAGACAGTAAGACAATGTATAGACTCACACGGAAGTAAACCCGCTCAATCATCATTGATGATCCACTAGAAGTGTGCGGTGGTGTATTTATCTGCAGAGATTCAGTTCTCTGCCTGTATTTTCTTATTGCCGTCTTATTTGCTGTGCTTGAGGCGTTTATGGGCGTATACATTCACAGCGCTCAGGTGAGGTTGGGGCTTTATATAAAGGTAGCGACCAGGTGCCAGACCGTAAGCAGGAGGCATTCAAGAGATACAGTGCAATAAAAACATAAGTGGTGCAGTGGTTCGCATTGTCACCTCACAGCAAGAGGGTTCCTGGTTCGAACCTGGGATGGGGGAACCCTGCTGTGCGGAGATTCCATGTTGTCAGGGTTTTCTTTGGGTACTCCGGCTTCCTCCCAGTCATGAGACATGCATGTCAGGTTAATTGGCAAATCTAAATTGACCTTAGGTGTGAATGTGAGTGTGAATGGTTGTCTGTCTCTATGTGTCAGCCCTGTGATAGTCTGGCAACCTGTCCAGGGTGTACCCCGCCTCTCGACCAGTGTCAGCTGGGACAGGCTCCAGCCCCCTCCCCCACAACCCCTAACAGGACAAGTGGTTATGGAAAATGGACATCTTTAAATGCAGACAGTAGCTGCAGGTAGATGTTGGCTGCCAAAGGTCATTCAAAACGTTCACAAAAGCTCGCGCTATCTTAATTTTAGATCAAAAATGGCTAGTTTCAAAGTTTTTTGAATTTCCAGAGGCCGTGAGTAACACTGGATGCCTAAAGTAGCCTAGACCTCAACTTCATGAGTGGCAATGTGACACCCCATCTCTCGAAATGCAATGCAGCACGACCAGAATGAATTGCACGGCTGCTTGCATAAGACATTTTTAAACAGAGATCACACTATAGGGATGCTACGAAGTCCTTTCTTTATGCTGCCTTTGCTTTCTTATACAGAACCAAACTCCAGCATCATGCTGCCCCAGTTTGTGATTTTAGACAGCAAGCAAGCTCCACGGAAGCAAAAGAGGAGTGACGGGCATGACAACAGCATCATCCTCTAGTGTGACATAACATATGACTCAGGCAGTGCTTTCTAAACAATAACAATGGCAATGACAATGACAATACCAATCATTTCCTGTCCTGGTTATACTGCAGCTGATCTCGTCCTCTACTTTGAGTGTAAGAAGCTGCCGAACCTCATTGTCTCCCCAGTTTGCAGACATTTTCGGTTGCTGTTCTTCTTTGAGTTAGCTGCTAACTGCTTCTAGCTGCTTTTTAAATCTCCTGGCAGTGGGTTGCACACATAACACGTTGTCATATTGTCACACTATCATGTCTTGCTTGCTGTCCCTTTGACACAGATGTCAATCCAGCACTGTTAATACTTC